TCTTGCCATCCACTGAGGTATCTCTCTACGAGGACCATCACTAAGTAGTTTCCACTTTTGAGAATCAACATCTGTCAAAAGATCTATTCGTCCCCCATTAACAACATAAATAGAATCTTCATCTTGAAGCCTTTCCTTCAATAGCAATGATTCAGCCATTTCAGCTCTCTGTCTCCACATCTTCAAAGCATCTTCTGCTGCCTTTAATGACCTCTGCAGTGCTTCACATCTTCTTAGGTAGGCATGATCTTTAGAATGGACCACTTCTTTTGCAGCTTCAACAGTAGCCTTGATGTTTTTCAAGTCAGTCTTTAAAGCCTTGGAAATTGCCTTGGTCCTTTCTGCCACATCTTTCTTCACTTTTTCCAACAATGAATTCATCTCCTCCTCCTGCTTGAGAGTTTTTTCTCTGCTTGACTCCTGAAGATCAAGCAAAGCTTTCTCTGCATCATTTGCTCTTTGTTCAAATGCCTGTAGCTGTAGTCTGGTGTGCTCCAATTCTAACTTCAGTTTATCAGCCTCATTTCTTGCAATTATCAATTGAGTTTCTATATCACTTACTATTCCCTGTAACTTTATATTTTCTGCCTGGACAGTGGCAAATTCAGTAAATGGAGATGTACTATCGATAAATGTTTCCATGGACTTTTTTGCAAGTTCCCCTGCTTCCTCTGCCACAACTAGAGCCTTCTCTATAGCATATTTTGATTTCTCCACTATGGATGATATGGTACCCTCAGTTGCATCCTTAATTTGCTTTTCAATCATATGAGCTGTTTCAGCAGCTGTGGTTTCAGCAGATGAAATTCTGAGTTGAGCATCTTCTAGAATATGAGAAGTTGCCTGCTGGAAAGCAACCTCTGCTAATTTTTCAACCTGCACAGCAAGATCAACAGCATCTTGTTTGGCAAGGACCAGCTTAGATTCCAAAGTGAACTTCTCATCCACTGATTCCTCCAGATTTTTCTGGAAAAGAGATTTGGCAGCCTCAAGTTCTGCTATAGCTACTTCTTTGTCATGTAAAATGGTAGTGATGTATTCCTGTTTTTTAGCCTCAGAACGAGCGAGTTCTTCAAGCAACCGATCTCTCTCTTTCTCAATAGCCTCTTGTCTGAGTAGTGCCTCTGAAAGAGCTTTTTTAGCTATCATTAACTCATCTTCTATTCCTATGACTTCATTTCCTCCTGAATAACCATCTTTATCAACAACTAAATCCGTGAATATGTCATCTGAATCATTCTGTCACAGGAAGAGGATAAGTATAGGTCACTCCCCACTATCAAAAAGCATGACCTCTTGTCATTTATACATACTTAATAGAATATCATTGAAAACTTGGTTGTCTTTCTGAAACTCAATTATTCAAGAGCTAGTTATAGGCTTAACAGATGAATTCAACTATACAGGTCTGTACTAGATTAATAATGAGATAGAATTTCCAAGTATAGAGTGTAAAACAAATAGAGAGGCAAAAAGTGTGGTTATAGAAGTGATGCAAATTAAGAAGTAAAAATAGGATAAATTACAAATAACACAAACATGGTTGTAGTGGCACTCAACTTCGCACACTAATGGTTCTACATCTCAAACCTTGATTCAAAGTGCCTTATTCTGTTACCAAAACCACCACCTACTCTTACAGTCTTACTATTTTGACATTAAGTATAATTTAAATGCGTAAGTGTAACAGAGAAACTACATACAAGAAAAATTACAACTTTAAACCATATGTGAGTAGTGTGGGCAACCCTAAATAACATGTGCATTATTTGTAATTAACCAAAACTTATATCAACATAAGTGGTAAGGCTAGTCAAGTTCTAGATAGATGTAAAATGGTTTGGAGAGAGCAAGAAAAGGCCAGCGACAAGGAATGATAATAAGGTGAAGTCCAAATAAAAAAATGTTCAAAATATTCATTTTTATTTATGAAGTATTCTCTAAAGTAACACTTTGAATGATTATTGTTCCTTTACATGGTAAATATTAAATTCTTTTCAGCAATCTTACCAAATAATTTTCCAAAGGGTTTTTTAAAACTTAAAAGTATACAGCTGAAAAGCAAAATGCCCTTATGAAAAGTGTCAATGACATTTTATTTAGCTAATTCCAAAATGCTATGACTAGATTAAACTTCCTATCATTATAGCGCACTACTATAACCTTATAAGTTAATCTTCTCCATATTGATGAACATCCACTAAATTTGTGTCTTAGTTCAAGAAGCAGGTCCATCCATCCTAAGCAATATACACAAGGAAAACTCCTTACTGTGTGGGAAAAAACTAAGTGTGCTGATTTGGAGATCCTCTTGTCACCAAAGAAATGATTTCTGCCAAAAAAATTAACAAGGAAGATTAAGGCATATACTTCAATAATAATTACACAAGTTAGACAGGGAAAGCTTTGCACCACTCAACTCAGTTGAACAAAATGAACACAAAAATACAACACAATATAACTTCTGTAAGCAAACCTGTTTCTAATTGATCTAGTTGAAGCTATTTTACTGATCAAAGAATGTTTGGGAATAAAGGAACAGCGTGGAAAAAATCCAAATGCCGCATCAGGCAACAGAGCAGCTCCCATTTTATTCCTGTATATGATACAATCAATTCATATGACATTAAGCTTCTGTAAAGTAACAATAACACCACAACTCCACAAACGACTTTTCCTAACCTTCCTTTTATGTTTCTTATCTCTTTAACCTTACATCCAGAGCCATCAACAACAATTATCTGAAAATGAAAAACTGAAAAAAAAAAAACGATGATAATTAGTTAATAACAGCAAAGTTGCAACTGAATCAAATTTTGGAAAATATGGGAAATGCAACTTCATAATTAAAATAAGCGAGTTTGGATTTTTCTTCTTTACCTTAAACAAAACGCGTAGAGTCTTCTTTATTTTATATTTTTTTTAAAAATAGTATGAATTGAAAAGAGCGAATTATTGTATGTTGAAGGTCATTGCGAAGTTGGGATGGCACGTAGAGGAGAGAGATGGCAATGGCGCGGACAACGAGAAGTTTTCACGGCCAGAAAGTTGAATAGCGAAAAGTGTGTGGAAGGGAAAAGTAAATCCATAAAGTGACGTAAGAGTCACGTTCAGAGTCAAATCTTAAGAAAAAGCGGTAAAAGCCAGAAAACAATTAAAAAGTCCCTAACTCAAAAAAGTCCTTTTCTAATTGAAATTATATAAAGTTAGTTTAATATTGATAAATTCTTAAAAGTTATGATGGAGCTTTTGCATTTAAAAATTAATAATTTTTATTGGACAACTTTTAAAAACAAGTTGGAGGATTCAGTAATCAACTTTGGCATTTTATAGTAAGAGAATATTAATTACAAAACTACTCACGTATTTATTTCATTGGGTAGTATCTTAATTACTTGTTATTTTATACTTACAAAACTTTATTTGGTCTCGGATTTGTTTTACAGAAAATATTACTGTTATTATAGATTTCTACAATATAATTCTTAATCTCACTATTTAATTATGCACTGTTAAATTGAACTGTACTAATATTTATCTGTTGATTCAAATTCTACCTATCACTTCACTAATTGAGGCTAGTAAATTTTCATTTTTTTTTAAGTTTTACAAGCATGATATCATGATAATTTTATAGGTACTTTAATAAGATTTTACTTCACATAAATTAGTTAAAATAAATTTTTGTGAAATATCATTTAAGTCATTAACAAATTAGACTAATTGTGAAAATTTTAACCAATTTATGTGAAGTCAAATCTTATTTTAGTACCTACAATGTGATTCTTATAGATTAACTTTATTATTTTGATTCCCTCTAAGTTAAAGCTTCTATTATTTAAATTTCTCAATCTAAATAATGAAAGTGAATTGGACGTGGGTTAAACTGAAAATATTAAGAAATTAAACTTTGAAGGATCAAATTAATTAAAAAATAACCAGTCTCCAAATATTATTTTATAAATAGTTTGACAATAAAGTAACTTGTTCACACATGTTCAACCACCATTCCATGGAAAAAATAGATGCATGATTCGTGAATCATCGGTTGATTGATCCCGCTCATGGATTATGCCAGGAGCTTACCCATAAAGGCAACTTTTTGGGACATTTAACCGTAAATCCCAAAGAAATTAAAAACACAATGCAACACAACTCAATGTAGCCACAATCAATGAATGTTGCTCTGACCTTCGTTCTTTCATCGGAATGCAACCCTTGATTTGATTGCAGCTGCAATTATCTTCACGATGTAGTACACAACACAACGCCCAAGTAGCTGAAAACACTTGTGCACACAATCGGTGGAAAAGAAGAAAAATAATAAACTAAGTTTTAATGCAAGTACGCAACGGACACTGAGCTCGTTAATAGAATCTCTAAGACCACTAAATTTCACAAGTTCCACCAACTCTGTCAATGAAAATAAGGATAAAAAGGAAAACGGAAAATCATTGACGGTTTGAAATTCCCTTTCTGCCACCATATCTTCTTAATTCTTCAAATGTGCTGTCCAACCCCAAATGAATTTTCAAAATACTGATTAAATTCAAGTATGGTACCTCTATTTCCTCAATTTGCTCTGGAAGTAGTATGACACGTTTGGAATGGTAGTTATCAAGCTCCAATATTCAATCTAGTATCTCTCTCACCATTGAACAGCACTTGAAAACATAATGCTAGGGTTTAAAAGTTAATCACCAATTCAAATTTATATTTCCACGACCATAGAACATTCAAGCATTTAGTATGAAAGACAGAGTGCAGAAACCTAGAACCTTTGACAAATTGCTACCTGAAGAATGGCTACATTAAAAAAAAATTCTATAAACATGAATCTAAGCACGAACAATAGCAACGTTAAAATAAACCTGCATCCACGTGAACTCAAACATGTTCAATCTCGAATTAGGCCCATACATAATTTTCCATTTTATTCATCAAAATAGCAGAAACTAAAACACCCAAATAACTTCGATAAGTACAATCAACTAATCGTAAAAGAAATACTCAAATTGCAATAATGAATCCAAATATGTTGGCAAGCATAAGAAATGCTTATCTTACAATAGCGAATAGATTATATTTCACATTCTAAGCCGACACAGATAAAAAGATTGTTTACAAGGGAATAAGGCTTAATCTCAAACCAATGCCCAAAAAATAAAAAAGACCCAACATTCAAAGTTAGACTCCTAACCCTAATCAAGCAACACCTACATCTTCTAATCTAAGCCCTCTCGCCCCTAATCCTGCGAGCGAGTTGAATATCCTTAGGCATAATGGTGACTCTCTTAGCGTGAATGGCGCAAAGGTTAGTGTCTTCGAACAATCCAACGAGGTATGCTTCGGCAGCTTCTTGAAGTGCGGCAACGGCGCTACTCTGGAAACGTAAATCAGTCTTGAAGTCTTGTGCGATTTCTCTTACCAATCTCTGGAACGGAAGCTTCCTGATGAGAAGTTCAGTGCTCTTCTGGTACTTTCTGATCTCCCTCAACGCCACCGTTCCTGGCCTGAAACGGTGAGGCTTCTTTACTCCTCCGGTCGCCGGGGCGGATTTCCTAGCGGCCTTGGTGGCCAGCTGCTTACGTGGCGCCTTGCCTCCGGTGGACTTGCGTGCGGTCTGCTTGGTACGAGCCATGCCGATATGAAAGGAAAAGAGGAGCGTTTGTTTCCCGGGAAAGTAAAGGGAAATTGGGAGTAGTGATGAAATCGGCGAGTTTGGGGTTATGTATATAAGGGGAGATTTGGGGAAAGGAAATGAGGGGAGGGGCGGGAATTGTGAAAAATTTTGGGAAAATGAGATATGAGAAGAGAAGAGTGTGACCGTCGATGGGATGAGATATCAACGGTTGTGAGTGCGTTGAAGTAAGGGCACGCGGATTACGATCCGTGGCATGAGACTGTAACCAATAGAGTTATCTCGTCAATGTATTGTCATCGGAAATTGGCACAAAGAGCATAGAAATAGATTGTTGATTTTTTTATTCTTTAAAATTACAGTTCGTATCTGAATCTGATTAAATTTAATTAATTAATTTTAAAAAAATTAAAAAATAATGTATCTTTAGATATATGATAAATAATTTGTTAATTGAATTTTTTTCTTAAAAAATTAAAAGCAAGCATTTTTTATTTAAATACGTATTTAGTCTAATTGAAATTAAATAAAACTTTAAAAATATTATTGTTCTAATAATAATAATCCAAACATGCACTTAATCAGTTTGTATGTGTTTCTTTTTATAATTCACTTCTCATGATACGTTATTGGACAAAATCTGTGCTCGTTTGGTATAAGTTAATTTTAAAAAACTAATGGAAAATAATAATTAAAAAAATTAATACAAACTAAATGATAAAAAAATATATTGATATGTCCTTTTATTTCGATGAATGGAAAAGAATGATGGGAGAAAAAGTTGCGTAAACAAAATGACAATATATAATTGTTGAATTATGGATTGCTTTAGAAGGGTTAAAGTTTGGCTAGAATATTAATTTCAATTAAGTTCATATTCAGATCGATTTTAAAGTAATGATAAATTCTTTATTAAAATAGCTTAAAATATTGAAAGACTTATGTGCCGTTTGTTTTTGCGCAATAGCAATTAATGAAATTACAATAGATGAAATTTATACGTTTTTTGGATACTTGCTTTGAATGAAATAAAGGGTTGAAATATTTTAATTTCAATGGATCTCACAACTCTTTCACCGTCACTGGACAGAAAATGCAGTCGTGCTGCAACTTTTCTCATTTTCATTTAAAACTATAAATAATTATATATTAAGATAAAAAAAATTGTGTTGTTTATTTGTTTCTTTTTTTTTTCACCCATTCCTTTTAATTTATATTTATTGAAATAATATACTGCTTTTATTTTATTTTTTCTATTGATATAAATTCTATTTGAATCATTTCCATTTTATTATTATTTTATTTAATTTCTCATCTCAACAAAACATTATCATTAACAAGATTCGTGGCTTGATACAAATGATTAAGAGATCAACGTGATATACACATATAAAGTTACAATTAGATACACAAAGAGGCTTGCTAATATACGATGATATCATGTTATTTAAAGTTATTACTATGACTAACCTTTTACGAACAATGTTACTCAGTAACATAGCTACGTAATATTTTTCTTTCAGGGCTTTAACCCTTTTGTTTAATCAACAAAACAGGTTTGAACACAAATAATAGATATCTACTCTTTACATTACTAGAATTCATCTTGTACTTATCACATAGCAAACACTTATTAAGTGGACTTTAAATATTTTTTAATAAAAATAACATAATATTGAGTTAAACATACATAAAAAATATCACAAAATAATCAAGTTAAAATCATAACTATTTTAATATATACTTACAAATTTTATTGATTATGTATATATAAATACCTGTACGTACGAATAGGAGGTATCATAAAAATCTAACTACTGCTTTTTTAACTTCAACAATGTTATGCATAAAATAATTGCAGATTTTAATAATTTTACGCATATACTTGCATATTAATTTGTAAAATAAAAAATCTAAACTTACATTTACAATTCATTCCACACACGTTTATTAGGATGTCTGTCAATCGTCATCGTTTAGTCCTCGCATGGTGTCGTTTATTCTCATATCGCGTCATGCAACCGTACGACAATTGCATTTGCTGAGCCATGGGTTAAAAAGACGGCGATAGGTACAAAAACCCCGTTTCGCTGACCAAACACGTTCATCGGTAATTTGCCTTTGGAACCGAAAAGCGCGAAGAAATTGCAAATTTTCTTTCTTCCGCTCGACGAAGCAAACACAGAATAAACAATGACAGAGGATAGCAGCGTTAGGGTTTCTTCGTCCGATGAAACCTCCGTAGCCAACGATGCTTCGCAAACGAGGCAGAGGTAAAACCTACTTCGTTGGAATGAATTCCTTTTCATGTTTTGTAAATTATGTGCAATCAAGTTTGGCCTTTGCGTGGTGTTGCTTTTATCAAATGATTTGTCGATTCGTTTTTTTTTTAATCTAGAAATTGAAATTATGGGATCCGGATCCCCTCCCTTTCTGGCGGGAACTGCCGGTGCAGTCCAATTTTGGCTCGAATCCTCCAATTTTGCAGTGATTCTGCTGAGTCCCAGAATCGAGAAAGAAGGAGGAGGATGGTTTGAAGGTGAGTTCTTAGAGAAGAACTACAGAAAACGTAAAGAATGAGAAAAGGATGCACTCTTTCTTTCATTGCGGGCATAGCTTGGAGAGTTGGAAACCTCCAGTTCCATCACCCCAAAATCTAATTTTTCAATCCAATCTAATCCATTGGCTCCCGAGATTCAGGGGATTATCTCTTTCTCCTACAACTCACCAGTCATTCTCTTCACCCACAAAATCAAGTCCCGAATTTCGGAGTCATTTGATGGATCTCCTTCTTGAGGTGCCACTGTGGGTGCTTTTTGAGTATTGTCTACGTCGCCATCTTCCTCATTTGGTCCCCCTGTAGGTGCCTCACTTGGTGCCCCTTCAGGATCCTCTAGAGTTCCACTTGTTGGTATTGGTGCCCATTCACCTTCTTCCTCTCCTTTAGGTGCTGGCACGGGTGCGTTTGTTGTGCCCATGTTGGTGTTTTTCTGGGTGCTGATGTGGGTGTTTCCGTTGGTGTTGAGGTAGGTGTTTCTGTTGGTGCATAGTTTGATGTTGCTCCAAATGGTGCATTAGTGGGTGAGGACGAGAAATGGGTCTTGGTTAGAAGCTTTATTGTAGATTGGGGTACCCATTTTCATCCCTTGTCTGCAAGGTCCACCAAAGAAATGTGGAGGAATATCTACTATAGAGATAGGGGAACTCACCTTCAAACTTCCTCCTCCTTCTTTCTTGATTCTGGGACTCATCAGAATAATTGCAAATATGGAGGATTTGCTTAAGTGAAAATTGGACTGCACTGTGCAGTTCCCGCCAGAACGAAAGGGGATCCGGATCTATGGCGTAGTGCTTGAGATTTTAGGTTTACACTGACACATGATGGAATTGCTAAACGAATTTTACTCTTTTGGATTTGATGCATGTTTTGGTTTTTGTGTAGGAAGAAGAGAAAGTGGGATCAACCGGCAGAGTCCTTGGTACCTGTTGGGATGGCAGTTCCTGGAGCCCTTCCTTTGAGCAATGCTGCGTCCCTTGGAGGAGTTGCATTTCCGGGTGTGAATCCGGTTATCTCTGGCGCTCTTTTGACAAATCCTCTGGCAGCTTCAGTTCAGCTTCAGCAACTCAATGCCTCCGCTGCCACCCAAAAATTGAATCAAGTGAGATGTCTAATCTATTGAAATGTTTATTGTTTTTGTGGGTGCCGTTTCAGCCTTTATTGATCAAACAGTCACATTGACGTTTTATTGTCTGGTTTTGGGGATGGAGAGTTTGTAGACTTTAAATGAAATTCCATCCAGGGATTTTAACATGGGAATGATAAGGAGATTTTTGAAGGTGCAAGAAACACAAAAGGGGGATGAATTATGCTCCACCAGGGTTTCTTCAATTTGAAAATCGTAATATTTGTCCCAAATGTAGTATTGTAAGAGCAGCATTAAAGTTTGTAGGGAAGAACTGTGATTATGTGGAAACAAGGATCTCTCCTATGTAGCATTATTCCACAGTCACACAATGACAAATAAGGCTATATAGAAGGCTAAATAAAATGCAAACAGAGATTACCAGATTTAGTATAGTAAGTTGTATGAGCAATACTTTGTTTTGGTTGAAATATAAGCAACAGTTATTACTTGGTTATAAAAGTCAGCTATTAGAAAGAGTACAAAAAAGCATAGCAGAACAGGGTATTGCTGAGAATCATATTTTCCTCAGCAGGTTTAAATACCCATTGAAGTAAATTTGCATAAACAAAAACTACTAAAATGAACAAGATGCAAGGACGGAAGCAGAAACAACATAGATATTTTGCATCATGCTTCTGATGCCTTTTTCCCCTTATAAATTTTTTACAACATTTTTTCATTATAGATTTCTTTGTGTGTTTAAAATAATATTTCAAGTTCCATATCTTAATCGTGGGATAAATTTTCTTGTAGCAAAAGATCCAAGATGAATTGATAATTGCTCGAGAAATTGTCATAAATGATGCAGAGTCTTCAGTACGTTACAAGTTGACAAAGCGCCAGACACAAGAGGAGGTGACCTACCTACAGTCAATTCTACATCCTTTTATCTTCGAGCTTCTTTTATGTTTTTTCCTCTAATGATTGATTTTCTCCTCCATGCAGATCCAGAGGTGCACTGGTGCTATAGTCATAACTAGGTTTGTAGGTCATTTAAGGCATTTCTAAAGTCCTTTTTTAATGTTTTCCATACGCCTGCCTGTAATGTTTATGCTGAATTTTTCCATAGGGGGAAGTATCGACCACCTAATGCACCACCTGATGGAGAGAAACCGTTGTATCTTCACATCTCTGCAGGGGCTCATGTAAAAGCTGCTGTCTTTTTTTTATATATAACATGATGACTGGGTTAAATAATCAAAATTCATTTGAAATTTTTGTGTAATTCTTTATTTTGATATGAAAGCAAACATTTATTACTTTATGGTCAGTCAGATGTGTAGTTTTGAAAGTTGGAGAAGTCAAAAGAATAATAATATATAATCAGTTATCAAATTAATAAATGAAATGTCATACGAAAGGGATTGATGAGTTTGTAACTTTAAATGTTTTATTGTTATTGAAAAGGAACCACATGGCTTTTTTGTATCATCGCTCACAACATGGTAATGCAAATTAGTTTGCTTTTGGTGACACTAAATTATATTGCAGATAAAAGAGACAGCAGAACGAATTTTAGCTGTTGATCGTGCTGCTGCAATGGTGGAAGAAATGCTGAGACTGGGGCAAAATTCACCGTCAATTTCTTCTGCCTCTCCTTCAGCATTGGTTAATGGACTGAAGGTAATTATTCATTCACTACTACATTTATTCATGTTTTTTTGTGATGCGTAAACAACTGAAATTTCTTACTGAATCAGATGCTGAGTACATGTGTATTTTTGGGCTTTGATGCTGATCCTTCACTGAACATTGTTGCTCGTATACGTGGACCAAATGTAAGTTCATCTCCACCCAATTGATTTATCTAGTCTAATCACTCTTGGAGGTGGTGCTTGTGTATATGACCATATGTGGATAAATTTGCCACAAATTTTATGAGAGGATTGCTAGAACCTATGGAGTTTTTCTTCTGTAATCCACTGGCCTTTTTGGTTTCATTTGATGATTTGTGGTGTGACCACTTAGTCATCTGTTGCATTTGTTTTCATGCATTTACTATTTTAGCCGTTAGCTCACTAGGAGTATCGTTCTGAACTTCTAATTTGATGGCATGAAAATCTGAGGTACGGCTAAGAGAGATGATTTTCCAAGAGTTGATTATGCAAGAAAAAAGAGGGAACGGACTGGGGAGTGAAAGAATGTTGTTGCAGTTTATGGTTTCATATGGCCTTGTAATACTTGTTAGACGCTGAAAGTTATCTTTAGAAAGATGGGAAGGGTTATTCTGATGACTTTAGAAGACTTTTTGGTATAGAGCAAAATTTTATGAAGTTTATTACTAGAGACTGGGGTCAAAGTTTGTCCACACACATGCACACACTCCCAAGATTAGGTTGCCTGCTAAATAAAATAGCTACAAACTAAAAATTTAACTACCAAAAGAAAAGGTAAAGACTGAACCTTTAGTAGTTCACACTTCACATATCAATAACTAAGTCTAAAAGCTCAATTTACCCAAACAACAAATCTTGACTTATGCTAATTAGTAATTATCCTACAGAATTAGTAATCCTGCCTAGGCTGTTATTCTTTCTTCGATGCCCTGCACCATTATATTTATTTCCATTTGCCAATATAATTCTCTACTTTAATATTTTCAGAATTTTTACATTGTTTATAATGAAATCGAGATAATCTAATGTTTCAAGCTTTCTCTGACATCTCCATACAATTGGGAGAAATTGTTTTGGTGTTGGTGGTGGTTTGGATTTGAACGTGCAGGACCAGTATATAAATCACATTATGAATGAAACAGGAGCAACGGTTATACTGAGAGGATGTGGTTCAGGACACAATGAGTCCTTGAATGGAGCAGGTACTTCATTTGTGGGATCTGGACCTTTGAATGGCATGGTATTTCAGCATAGCATATTTTAAATCTATATGGTTTTCAATTTGAGTCCTTTTCTGGTTGCAGATGGACAGCAGCCTCTACATCTGTTTTTATCTAGTAACAATGCAAAAAGTCTTGAAGATGCCAAGTTTTTGGCTGAAAATCTTTTGGATACAATCAGTACAGAGTGTGGTGCTTCAAGGTATTTAATTTTATACTGTGATAAGGGTGTAGGATCTGTGGGCCAGATGTCCTACAGAATGGAAAATTTCAGAAATTTTGTCCTCATCAGATTTTAGCTCTTACCACATTCATTAATAATATCTTTTTGCAGAAATTACTAATTTCTAGTATTCAATAATTCATGAAGCATGACAACTTACCTTCTGATAATGCAATTTTATTGCGTACCAATGTCAACATACCTTTTTCATTCATGGAATTATAATTGTCAATTTTTGGTATATTACTTTGGTACCATTGAGGAAAGGGGGGGTCTAAATAGTAATTTTTTCTTTATCCATCTAGGAAAAACATGAGAACTCTAAATAATTGCTAGGTACTCTTTTGTCAGGAATATGAAAGGATTGATATACAATAGGATCAGACATAATAATAAAATGAACACTCAAGCATTTGTTATTACAATGAAAGGAAGCCCTGTATGCTCTAGAGTTTTGTTTTCAGCTTGATGCCTAAGAGCTTTTAGTCTCAAGTCACTTCCTTGACAGAATGTCATGAAGAGCTGCATAAATTATTTTCTTAAAGATGTGTTTCCTTTAGTTGCTGTCTGTCTCTCTCATTGACAAACTTACAGTTATCCTACAATAACTATTTATTATTTAATTTACAACTTGAGTACTTCTGTGTTGCAGATACTGTTCTTGACTGTGAACAGTGTATTTTAATATGGTAATTTGAACTCTCAACTTTGTTGGCTGATTCAAATATTAAATTTTGAACTTTTGGTTCGTATTGGATATTAATTTTCTGTTAACTGAGATTGAGTTTGAGAGAGCAGTGTGTGGGTGGGAAGTAAGGGGTCTGATAAATCTGACTGGTAGTAGAGTAAAATTCTCCTATCATCTGATATTTCAATTATTTAAACTGCATTATTTGATTAATTTAATGTTGTTACCGTGATAAACTTCTTTATGTTGGATTTATAGTTTTTAGGAAATAACTTGTGGTTTAACTGTCATAGGGTTTCATCATGTAAGGTTTATAGTGCTGTTCCACCTCCGCAGCAGGTATATACTGCTGTTCCACTACCGCAGCAGATTTATAGTGGCTCTTCATTGCCAAAGCAGATTCCTACTACCATTACACCCCCACAACAAGTTTATAGTGCTGTTCCACCCCCACATCAGTTGTTGACTGGAGTTCAGAGTTCTGGAATTGAGCTAGAGGCAAGCACAGGCCTTACCACGAGTTCATTGTCATCACCAGTCTCAACACTGGTTCCTCCAGCTTCCTTGGTTGGAGTGCCTGGTGTCACCACTGCCCTCACTTCAGGGACTATGCTGCAATCTACAGGACAGTTAAGCTCTGTGCCTCAACCAAACATGGTTGGTTATACTCCCTCTTTGGTATCACGTTGCACTAGCTATTTTGGATATGACGGGATATATCCTCAAGCTACCCCTTTGCAACAAGTTGCCCTTGCTTTGAGACACTCACCTCCTGTTGCATCAACAGTTGCTCCCACAACATCGGCATCAAACAGAGAATCCAAGTCAACCACAAGCTCTGATTGTGAAAAGGAGAAGCAGCCACCTCAGAAAAGAAAGTTTCAAGAGTTACCAGTTGGTTCAAAGGGCTCTACAAAGCTTGATCAGGTCATTGCATTGTCATTGATAAAATCTTTAAATACATCATTGCGTTTATCAAGGGAGAATATCATTCAATCCCCTTCATCTAATTGTAGTTTCTAGTAAGCTAGCAAATGAATGGAAGCGCTTGGTTTACAGAAAGTCAGATTTATTTCTACTGGTGCTCGGTTGATTCTGATATACTATTTCTATTTGAAAATGTCAATATCTATCAAGCATCAAAGCAAGAGTTAACCTGCCATTAGTGCTGTAAATGAGGAGCACCATAATGAAACAAGGGGAAAAGAAGCATTGTAATTCTAAATTGGCAGAATGATTTTTAAGAATCTTGAATTTACTTAAACAAAAACATTTTTGAAACAAGACACCAGCCCCAAAACTCTACTCTCTTTTGAAACTCCTTTGTTGAGTTGACACTAACTCCTGACATTTTTATGCAGAGTTGTAGACTGGCCTTTTCATTAAGTGATTCAGATAATCTCTGACAGCAATGCTTGGTTTTCTTTTGATAATGATTCTATACCCACATTGCTATTGAAAATTATTTATATTATTCACTAATATTTTTTAACCGTAATTATCAACTTATCATTATGAATTTTGGTTTTCATAATGAACGGATGTTAAGTTATAATATTGTAGTCCAATAACTAAAATAATATTGAGTTTCAAAATCTTCAGAAAGGGAGGTGAATTATGTGTAGACAGATTTGTCTTAGGCTTAAATAATGTCTCCAAATTTATTGATTTGGTAAGAAATTTTCTTTATTTCCCCAAAGGATACAAGTGATAATTAGCTCATTTCCACTGTTGTTCCTATCCTTTCTCTCCCCACCCCCCCTCCCTCCCTTCTCTTCTGATTGCAGCTTGGGGTGTGCCTGTGGTTCTCATGCTTGCATGATGCATATATTTTGCATATTCACTTCCAGTTGTTTGTTTAGATGAACTTACCATTTTTTCCTTTATCAAAGAAAAATAGCCTTACAAAACTTTTCCCTCAAATGTTCTTCGTCTGTTGCTCTGTTCTGATTCAAACACATTATCTTGTGCTGACTGTTAATGCTCAATATTCCAGGTATTTTCTCTGACCTTCTATGAAGCTAATAGGCTGACACTGGACCTGTCTGTTGGGCCGTTGGTTTGTATGTTTGACAGGGTTTTCAGTTTTGAAGGAGTAGGAGGGTGCTTGTGACTTCACAGCATATGCCCTTGCCAATCCAAGATGTTATTCTGGTTTTTACCTTCGTTGGTAAAATAGCTGCAAAAGGTGTTGCAGCATGCTTTTGGTCATACCCACTTGAAGAAAAGGGTTTATCAGCACCAAATTGAAACATCCCGTTACAGGGAAAAATAAAATTAGAGATATAGGATATAGATATGAGATATCAGGGCAAGGTACAATAAGAAAATGAATAAAATTAAAAATATATGAGCGGAGTTTGTTAAAATAATAAAGCCCTTTCAGTGGGTTATCCATTGAATTGACACTAACAAACATCTAATATTTTAAAACCATGGTGCTGTCAACCTGGAGGTGATAAAATAGAAACCATTTCGTTTGATATTCTTGCATTTTTCTTTAGCCAATTACAACTAAAAAGATGAAAACATCTTACACCACCATGTAAAAAACACACCCTCACATCTTGTGTGCTACCAATTAACCCATTGCTTGCCAAAAATCAGGTTCCAGTACTACCAGTGAACCCATCTCTCACCAAAATACTCAGTCTTGAGTGCAAGATTTATTTATCTTGATTTTTGATATCAATGCTACATTGGTACTGGTGCTCAAACCTTTTTATATGGAAAATTTGAGCTTCAGATGTACAGTTATCTTGCCATGATTATCTATTGGAAGCATGGGTTGCAATAAATTTTGCACCCATCTTAATTATATCATCTATTCATTTACACAATTACCATTTTTGTACTTTCCTGGTTGCTACACTGCTTAGTCACCTTATATTGTTTTACCTTGCTTTGTTTACTTGTTTTTCTCCTTTGAAGTTGAGAGTCTTAATTCACTTGTTTGGCGTGTTGAAACAATTAGTAAAATATCTGATTCGGAAGTTGTGTTTGGATTGTTGTTTTCTCCCACTCTAACTCAATTGCAGGGATTGGAACCTCTAAAACCTAAAATATCGACTATGCCTGCTCCTAAGAAGTTGGTCCAGCCATCATCCAATGGAAAGCTGCCACCTCCACCAAGAACTATGCCCCCTCCACCTCCACCCATATTTTCTGATGCACCTGAAGCTAAAGTTCAGGACAGCATTAGGAATTCAGTTAAGGCAAAATCTGATGCAGTTCCTGGTTAGAACTAAATCTGCTTTTACTTTATCTGGGTTAATGTTGGTTTGATGCTCCATTCATCGTTTTCTCTGTAATCCGTAGTATGGGTGTTTATTGTTTGCTTTGTCCGACTTTGTAATTTTACTGTTCAATGCCCTTGTTAGTTATTAGCCATCTTTAGATTGCTCTTGTGTAACAACTTTATTTATTTCAGATACATTGGTCAAGCTAATGGAATATGGAGAGGATGATGATGATCTAGACGATTCCAGTGGGGATTCACTTCCTCATGCCACCCGAACAATTGGGGTTCAAAAGCCGTTTTGGGCTTTATGAGCTGCGAAGTACATATTAACATAAGAGATGTAAATAGGTAATTATTTGGGTTGCGACTAAGTCATTGCACTAGTGGTCGTTGAATGCTGGTTATAGCAACACTTTCCCAATGGAACAAGAGTGAAGCCCATGGATTTTTGGAGCCGAATAGTTGGCTGTTGAGTAGCATTTGACTTTAAGTCGTAATTGCCCATTCTCATATACTATGAGACCGGATCGTCTGTTGTAATTTTTTGTCCTTATAAGTATACATGTACACTGGTAGTCTATTTTTTGTAGTTTAGTGGGCTAATATGATGTTACGATGCCTATGATAAGGAATGGTTTTTGCTTCTTCCCCTAGTTCATTTTTAGTTGGCACCCTCTCAGTGATTCCTCCGAACTGATGAACGAAACTATGCTTCCCGTTCTACATGCTACCTTTTTCCTACAACTAAGCATCTTGTTCTTATTGCTGTTTCCATAGTAATGCTCTAAATTTTTGGAAATGCAACTTTTAGAAGTACAATTTGTATATGATGTAAATGCAAATTGCCCAAAATCTTATGCAATCTGAATATAAATCGTAGTGCGTTTTCCCTACAATATATTAAAATTGATCTGCAAGTTGCAGTGTCGCCACGTCTAATGTTTACAGTATTCAAATTTGGCTAGTCAACATTTCTGTGGAGATGTCACTTGCCATTTCACCTTATCTTTCCATAATTTAAAACTTTCATACATAAATAAACTTTCACCTTACCTGTTCTTTTATTAACATTATGTTTTCAGTTATAAATAAAATTTTTAGAACAAGCAAAAGCTACAAACTCAATTATTATAAAGAAAATTTAATTGTTACATAAACAAAAAGGTTTGTGTCAATTATAGAAGTTGTGCACTATTGACTAAGACAAGCAAAAGCTACAAACTCAATTATTATAAAGAAAATTTAATTGTTACATAAACAAAAAGGTTTGTGTCAATTATAGTTGTGCACTATTGACTAAGATTCAGGCCTGTGGATGTTCATAGGAAAAAGGACAGGTTGCGACTAGTACTATATAAGAGATGTTCGTGTGTAATAGAGAAAATGTGGATATGTATGAATTTTTTAGTTTATATTTGTTGTATTATTGAGTTTAATTTTAGTTTATTTCAATTACACTGGTAATTCATGTTTGAGAATCAGTATATTTAAATTCTATTATTATCTCCATACTTGATATTCAACCACAACATAACATTCAAAAAAAATTATATTCACCCTCGCATTTCGGAAGTCTAAAACCTAGTTGGACAAATTTCCACTTGCAGTGCTAACTGAAGCAACAAAGACAAGCTATTTCCAATTTGCCTGGCTTGGTGTTCGACAATATTGGCATGTTTGGATAGGCATTCTATATACAATATAAGCTACCTTCTGTAGCGCTAACAAGATTCGCGTCCAAGGTACCACACTGCCGAACCAAATATGCTTTAAATCAAAGCTCAAAAATCAAGTCACCTATTCTTTAGAGGTGATTCACAGTGAAAACATTTTGAGAAATAACGTAGTTGTATATCGGTTAGCAGGGATCTATATCTTGTCCAATTTTCAGGATGGAGGCTAACCAAGGCTCTTCCCATTTTATTTAGGTAATTTTAAATCTCAATGTATTAATGACCCCAAAAAATTTGAAAAATATCAATGTATTAACCAGTACTGATCCCTTCAAATGTGTTTTCGATCATACCTATTTTGTTCTTAGAAGAATATATGCTCGGACCAAGTGATATGTTCTGCTCTTCTAAGAATATATTTTCTGGCCAAGTGATGTTTTTCTTGGTGCATGTTTCTACAAATCCACAATTTCAAATGATTATCAACTTGTTAGGAATATTCATTACTCATGCTTCTCCAAGATCTTTTATCTTTGAGATCCGTCTGAATGACTTACTCCATCTCTGAAGCAGTAGCACAAGCGAATAGCTAATTAACTTTCAAACGCCTAGAAAAATCTTATTTTACATCAGTCACTAGCTGACAAACTATCAAATTCAAGCCAAACAATGAAGAACAGAAAGTTAAAGGGATGAAAAAGTAAACCAATATTGGAAACACATTGGCTTATCATCAAACCAAAAGGTAACTTGCCCTGTGCAAGGAAATTCTTCATGGAGAAGATTCTCTCACCCCCGGGTCTGGGCGAAGTCATCAGGTTCGTCGTTGTTCTCCCTCACATGATTGTCTTCAAGTGGCTCACTGAATTCATCATTGTCTGCACCTGTTCTGTCATTTTGGTTGCTACCAAATTGACCATCATATTGCAAACCAGACTTGTTGCTTAGTTCACTGCTAGCAGGGCCAAAATCTCCACCAGAATTTACATTGAATTGGTAATTACTAGCACCCCCACCACCAGAGTAACTAGTTTCAGCATTGCCACCACCATAGCTGCTCATAGCACCATAACCATCACTTCCACCCCTATTGTCATTGCCTTGATAATTACCACCACCATAGCTGCCTCCACCATAGCCACTGCCACCACCACCAAATCCGCCACCACCATAGCCGCCGCCACCACCAAACCCTGGACGTGACCTTTCTGCAGCATAATTCACTCGTATCCTCCGACCATGAAGATCCTGTAACACTACTATTTGAGATGCCAAAGAAACAATGCTCAACCTTTTAAACTTTGTAAACATCAGCATCAGCAAGATTAAGCTATTGAAACTAACAGTAACAATTATTTGATGCTAAAATTCTAATTCAACGGTCATATGAAGAATTGTATCTTCATTCCTCTTTTCTTTATTTAAATAGACAAGATTAAATTTAACTGGTAACTTAGTTTACTAAATTTTAATTGATAAAATATTTTCCTACATTATTCAAATTCTAAATCTTGGATTTGAAATATAATTCATGTTGTAAGATTGCTTGGGTTCTCAAATTTTCTTACTTTTGAACTGATTCTTGGAATAAATAGAAAATGTAACAAAGATTATTCAGTACAAAGCATTCTTGACAACAATACTAGGTAACATAAGTTATTTACACTCAACTTCAAGAAGCCTCAACCATTACAGAATAAATGTTTTTTTTAATGCCTGAATCTGAACTCTAAAGCCATTTGAATATGCAACAAAAAGTTATCATCATTGTGTTCTACATGTCAATCTTACCTTGGGCCCAAATAGCAGCAATTGTGTACTCCAGTTATGTATACAAGGTTTTTCACTAATAACTACTTCATAAATAATATGAGGACAAACGTATAATTTCTTCATACATGAGGATGATGTCTTATCACATGAAATAGTGTCATGAATGCCAATTTTAAAAGTTAGCATGAAAAATTGATAATACCTGGCCATCCATGCCCTGAATAGCAGAAGATGCATCCTCACTTGTTGCAAAAGTTATGAAGCCAAAACCTCTTGACCTACCAGTTTCACGGTCCATAATAACCCTAGCTGGAAGAATATCCAAAACAACCAGTTTCAGTGCTGAAACCAATAAATATCATATTATGAAATAAAAATGCTTGAAAAAGCCAATATTTTATTGTTTGTTATATAAACATTTTATTGTTGCTCAGCAGTTTGTCACACATTACAGTTGGTGACAATTAAACCACTCTATCATCACTCATCAGTCATGACTAACAACTACAATTTTAAGATTAATTCTAACAAAATAGAGGAACAAGGAGCAAAGTACAACCGCAAAAGAAACAATGGCACAAGTACACAACTACAAATGAATAGCCTCTACTTTAAATCTTTAACATTAAAAAAGGTATCCACTCTATCAAACTATATATATAAAGAGCATTATATTGGTTTACTTTGGCTCACCAGTGAAATTTTCAGAAACATGTGAGCCTATTTTGGGGGGCATATTACTTTTTCCTGTAATAATGAAAAACTAGTACAGTATGAGCCAGGAAAATACCATCAATTACTTCTCCATAGCGAGCAAAAGCTTCCCGCAGACTCATATCATCAGTGTTGTAAGAGATACCTGCAATATAATTGGAAATTGAAGAATTATAGCTATGTTCTATTCTAAAATATAGATCAGCAAGACAAACAAATGTACCTCCAACAAAAAGCTTTCCAGATGACATGGATCGAATTGCTTGGAAAACCGACGGAGTAGACATAGAAACTTCTTGATTGATATGCTTGACAGCAGAGTTCTTGAGTAGATTTCCAATTTTATTGACGAACGCCATTGCTCAAACCTTTAAAAGTATAGCACAACAAAAAGTTATACAGTATATTAATTGTTGATTGCAATTGATGCTCCGCAGCATACAAAAGTTCCAGCCCAGGGTTACTTGCACATTAAAAAGAATCATTAATGCAGTTGCAATCCAATTTCACATTAGCCACAGGCAAAAATCAAAGGAGATCACCAAGGGTTGTGGACTTGTGGTTGAACTCCACACTCCACAGCACCAAGTTTGCATGTCCGAGTACAATCCATTAGGCAGAGGCCTAAGAGGGGAACGATGTATCACCGCTTCTCTCTTGGCTGGTTTCTATCCCTTTGGACTTCACTCCACTTCCCTTCCCTCCCTACCCCAAAACTAAACTAAATGGCAATGATGATCTTATAGTAGTCATGGACACTTGAATACATGCTTTCAGCCCCATTATTAGAAGTAATTCACTCCTAATTAAATTATAAACTTATCATGGCCTTTTGTACCCAATACAAGAAATGGCTTCCAAGGACCCTTGGTATTGCCAATTGCCAGATTAAGAATGACAAAATAACACCAAACTCTATTTATGCTGAACGCATGCCAGTATCATATTGTGCAGTGGAAACTCCACAGACTTCTAAGGGAAAAAAAAGTTTCTTAGCCATAAATGTACTGAAAAGCAAAACCAAATACACTCACTTGCATTATGAATAAAACACAAGTCTTGCAGACCATAAAAATCAAAATTTGCACCGTAATAAGCATAACCAAGGAGATAAACAAGCAATCACTACAACCCCAATTAAAAGGGGAAGCAGCAAAATAAAAGAAATGAAAAAATAGCCAAACAAGCTTTAAGAGAACAATAGTGAAACGATGATGGAAATAGGAAAAATGGGTTGCAAGAAAGTTCTGAACTTGAGATCATACAAACTTTGAAAAGCACAGTGAAGGCTCTCTTCTCTTCTCTTCTCAGCTGTATGCTGAGACTCAAAACGGTGTTATGAAGCTGCCAAAGCCAAAACCCTCGTAAATCCACGCTTACCTAAAATAGGGCTTTGGCTCTGCCTTTGCAGCTTGACACGTGGTGTTGCACAAATAATTCTGGGTCTTTTTATTGTTCAAAAAATTAATTTTGTATTTTTTTTAATAAGAGTACACATTTTAATATAACTAGTTATTATACTAATACTTTGCATGAATTAATTATAAATAAAATAAATAAATCCATTTTATCTATTTTATTACATATTAATTATTTTATAGAGAAAAATAAAAATAGCAAAATTCTAAAAAATTAATGTATCTTCAAGAAATGTGAGATAATAAAAATTTTGAAAAATATTGAGTTTAACAAAAGGAATGTGAATAAATTAATAATTAACTAAACTTTAGAAATATAAAAAGTGTTGAATAACAATAAAACTATGTCCCTTAACAAATAAAATACCATAAGATATTGTTGTAAAAATAAAGATTTTTTATTTTAGTTTATTAAGGCATTTCTTTATTTGGTTTTCGAAAAACAAAAGGTGACGCTGAGGAATTTATTATAAAATTTTAAGTTTGTTTTTGTTATTTCCTAAGTTCTAAGTATTTTTGTTTTAATTTGAAAACAAACTTCATCCTACTATATATAGAGCTGACGTATATAACAACGGAACAAAATCTGGAGGGTTTTCAAGCAAAACTCATACATGTATCTACTATTGAGCTAGGAATTAGCCATTATATTACTTTATAAAGCTTTGGATTTGGATTCTACTAGTTGTGTTATTATCATTTTTATTTGTCAATACTTGTTGTATTATGTTTAGTTTTTTTATTTTTTTATTCAAAAATAATACATATTAAAACGAATAGATGAGATTAAAATTGGAGGGAATGCAGTGAATTTTCCACTGTAGAGATCTCAATCCAGTGAACACACAGTAGAAGGGTGTGACTTTGGATCCCAATCTCAAATCAATGTTTTCCTGTGGCCCGTGTTTGAGATCCACTAGCCCAGTTTGGTTGGATGATGCTGAACATATTCCCAAGGCACACGATTATTCTTGACCAAAATAATGGGACACACGTTTATTGACCAAAAATAAAGAAATAAAGGACTCACGTGAATACACAATAAAAGACTTTCAACAAAACTTTACTTATGTAGTTGCCAAATGTTGGTAAAGATTAATGCACCTTTGCTTGTCTATTTTTTAGAAGTTAAGTTTATTTTAAAAGTGACTTGACCCAATTTCGCATTGCTATTCAACTGTGAAATGCTTAAAAAAAAGTGGTGCATCATTTTGATATGGACAAATGAAAATCACTATACTATATAAGAATAAAGATTGTAAAATTGTATGTATTGAAGTTTCTTTTGACTCGTTCCGTGCCTGCAACATCAGTATTTTTTTTTCCTATGAAATCTGTAAATACCACTAAAATTGTTTTTAGTACTAGGCCAGGTGGTTGGAATCCTCACCTAGTCGTATGATGATAATAAGGTTGATTGACACTAAAATCCGTAGGGTTAGGACAATGGCTGACCTAATCAGTGACACGAATGAAAACGTCCACTGCCCATGAAGGATAATTGATCGCAACACATAGGGGTAAAACGAACAAAGTTGGTTATGAACAACCTGGAGGAGTGCTTGAGCAAGTGATCCAAGGAAGATCTACCATGTGACATGGCTTTGTTGACTGCTTCCAAGCATTATAAATTGTTGAAGATTCAAAGTAAAATTATGTCTAGTCCCCAACATACTCCGGTCAACCATAATACATAAATGCACCATACTTTTTTTCCTTAGATGTTTATTTCAAGTCTTTGTCTGTAAAGTTTTAGTTTGTTTTGTTGAATCACATCCTTACTGTGACCCCATTTACACCCCTTCCCCCTCTCCTTCTATTTGACTATTGTTTTTGTTTTAAAATTTTTCTGATAAGAAGATTGCATTGGGTAAAATCTTTGTTTATGGTGATTTTAGTACTAGGCCTTTAGCCAATTATATATAATGTTGGAAATTGAATTTTATTATATTAAAGTGAGGCGGTGCACTTTAAACGTTGATTGCAGCTATAATTATTAATTAAAAAAAGTTAATAATTAATATTTTAATAATTTTATGATTGATTATATATGTGTATGTGTTTTATCATTATTATATATGAGGGGGATCCGAACCCTCACTCATGGGGAAGTTTGCTGTCTATGGTCACCAATTTTTGCCTTAATTGGTGACATAAATTTGCTGTCTATGAATGCTCAAAATTTCAGCCACAAATTCGGGTGAACAACCATGGTTGAAATTGCAGTAACTTGTAAGAATTTCTTAACCATTGAAAAATAATTCAAATCACAGTTCATAATATCCAATATTCTATACCTACATAATATATTGCTAGAAAAGGGGTTTCAGAGCTTAGTTCTTTAATTTTGGTCAAAGGGTGATTATATTTCTCACTAGTCATACAACATTTCAATAACGAGTCTTCGAAGAACACTCATTGCCACTTAGCAATTTTAACATGTCACCATGCTTTTGCCATATTACACTTAAAATAAAGCCAACCAATGAGGACCTTAAACATTTTCAATGAGAGAAGAAATAATAGTTTTTATTTTTGGGTCCATGAGACGAAAGAATAGTTGTTTGAGGAAAAGCTTTGGTGGATGCACCGTACCGGTCCATTAATTTATTCCTTATTTCTTTTGGAGTGATGGTGGGACAAGGGGTCTTATTATCTACATAATTCACATGGCTTGACAAAAAGTGTTAGGTCCAAATTCAATTTCCCATTAAAAACATTGACCAATGATGCAGACTATTGGACATGTGCACTTAGAACCCTCCCAAGATTTCAACTTGCTCAAGGAAGTGTCTCTTTCCGTTAGCAGAGTTACACTTGGAGGGGGAAAGACTAAGTGCACTTCACCAATTTGCCAATAGGCAGAGTTGGACCCACTTCTTTTCAACTTTTTAGTACAGTCTATTATTAAGTTTGGTAAAATTAAGTTTAATAATCTTAATTTTAAACCATTAAATATTATTAAAATGTTTGTTAAAGTTAAATTTAACCATAAATTTTACATTAAAGTGTATGCTACACAGAGTGTGCCTATTTATGTACAGGTTAGTTAAAAGTCTCATGTACAGTAGAATAAAATGCTTAATGTGATATTTAAACGTCGAAATTTTTCTAATTAATAACTAGTCTTTTGAGTTGAACTCTCCACATGTACCAAATACTAAATAACAGTAGGTGCTTTCATTGAGAGTTGAGTTTATTAAGTAAAATTAGATACTCAATATGATACTTTGAAGTACTTTCATCTAATGTACTAGTAGTCTTTTGAGTTAAACTCTTCTCATGCGCTTTAGTTATAATAGTTTTAAACTTGCCTTAAATAAAAGGAGATAATTTTCACTTCAGAAAAACTCCATTTTTAGGCTTAGGAATTCGTGAATGGAAGTTGAAACAAACATCCAAACAGGTTATATATGAAATTTGTTTTAGATGGTAAACGAACAAGCGCTAGAGTTAAAGCTCCTCTAACACAAGCGCTTAAAAATTGAAGCTCCTCTAACTAGCCTCTTCAATAAGTTTACTTTAGGGCTTTTGTTCATTAGAAAGCTAATTTTAATTTTTAAGGGTTTTTCTAAATTGAATTTGTCTTGACTTCCAAAATTCAAAAAAAGGTTAAACCAAATGTTAACTTATACTTGAAACTTGAAATGACTACAAAATTGACCTAATTATTTTTTGCAGGCCGTTTGGTGAATGCATCTGACACGAAAATCTAAAGTTGACTTCAAAGTTCAAATCCCTCCTTTCCAGATAATTTCATCAATTGCAGGTCAAAGTTAAAATACCCTCTTGCCTTATCAGGAGCAATTTCAAATACTATTTCTAGATTTTGACTAACACAGATTTCTTTGATGACCATTCAGTGGAGTCAAAACGCTAACTGTTACCGGTTATTTAATTTTGGTTTATGGTGTTATTCTTATGCCTCCAACATAACTTGAAGTTCTAAGCAAGTTTTGTGAGAATCACAAGAGAATTTGAATATAGAACCCTGCTTTTCATTAAGGTCCTTAATAATCTCCATCGTTTTAGATTTATTGCGTGTCTTGGACTCAAAAACCTAAAGAGAAAGGCAACAGAATATCATAATACTCCTATTTTAATTCAAATATAAGAAAATATAAAGAATACATTGCAAAAAGTAGCATAAACCTGAAACTTTTCCAATCATTACATGTAATGCACACTAAGTGGAAAAATAAGGTTTTGACATGGACCTTAACCTGTTTGTGACCACATACAAGTCTCTGCTAGAGAACACAGGATTATTCTTGTCTATCTGCTATCACCTTCTATGGGGATTTTGTAACCACTTTTGGGATCCTTCAAAGAAATCCAAAAGGTAGTTTTCTAAATCATCAGCAGTGTATTTAATGTGTTTGTCGGTTATGTGACTATTATTCCTCCCAACAAATGTCCTATAAGCTTGTATTACTTTGAGGGATATAGAAATTCGCAAGTCTTCACGAAGCTGAACATCTGGAATATGCCAAGCTGTCTGGATCCTGTAAACATCCTCAAAGCCAAGGTAGAAGCTGCGTAACCTCTCTTTAAGAAGACTTTTCGAGACAGAATTTGTGCCTGGAAGATGAATTCCCTCATCCTTAAGCAAATTGAGAATGGAACTCCAACTAGCTCTTTCATACTTCATTGCATGCTGCTGAAACTTCCAGTTGCGCTTTCGAATCCATTCATCTCCATATACGAGCCTGAGTTCAGACCCCTTAACCTTTTCAGCCATATAATGTAGGTTGTTCATTAAGAACAAGTGCTGCAAGGAGGCCTCTTTGTATAACTTGGACTTTTCGTCAAGGTTGCTTTCCAAGATTGAAGCAATTGACCGAAAGTGGAGGGCCATTGAGGAAACTCTACCAGGAGATCCCTGGCTTCTACTATCTTCTTCTGTACCTGGGCTCATGTCAGGTGACAGCGAAATGGCATCCTCTTCTTCTTGGTCCTTCAGAAGCAGATTAAGTATTTCGCTGTAGTCAGTAAGAGTCCTAAGATAATTCATAACATATTTGGTCAAAGGATGTATCCCACCACCTACAAAAGGGGTCGATGATACATTTGTGGCAATGGCATTTTCAAATTCAAGAAATGTTGCCCTCACACAATCACCTAATCTCTTCAGAACCTCATGACATTCAATTTTAACAGAAGAACCAACCTCATCTGAATACAAAGCATCAATGTCTGGCATGAGGTCTGCAAGAACCTCATACATGTCAAGGATTCGGAACAATTTCTCAGGTTGGTGAGGGCCAATAGACATGGCTTCACTGAAATTCAGAAGCTGCAATATTGAAGCCTTAGATGCATCAACAAAACAAGCTAGACTAACAGGCTCACCCTCCCCAAAAATCTGGTCACTAAGCCACCTCTCACTTGCTAGATACACCCTAACAAAGATTTTCACTGCCCAAATCCATCTTTTGATTTTTGAATTCAAAGTACCCCACTCCATTTTCAAGACATCCTCAATGCTAAGCCTTTCCATTTCAAGAATGAAGAGGCACTCATCTAATGCATCTCTCCGAACAATGGTATAAGCATTGGAACATTCCTGGACATAATTAGAAGCAAAAAGCAAGTTTGCAATACACCTGACATCTGGGATCACAGCTGGATGAACCAAATCAATGATATGCTCCTCAGAGGCTCTGCTGACACTATCTCTTTGAAGTGATTCCTCAACTGATTCATCACCTAAAGAGACTATAGAGTTTTCATCAACAGGATCTTCCTCGCTGGACCGAAAAGAGACGTATTCAGGTTCAAAAGGTTGCCTGTTCTGGATAAGCAAGTTCCTGAATTCTTCTTCAAGCCTTGCCATAGCTGTTTGAAGAACACTATAAGCCCTCTGCATAAACTTATACTCTAGGTCCTCTTTCTTCAAATGTAAACTTTCCAACTTCTCAATCAACCGGCGTGCTTCATTAGCAGCATGCAAATACTCAGATGCTTCTTCAGGTCCCATATCCCAAATCATGGACTGATCTTCCTCCCATTTCATTATTTTCTCCTGAATCACACCAAGCCGTTCTTCGATAGCACTAACACCCTCATCATCATCGTCGCCGTCATCACCATCATGATCGCCACCGTCACCCTTCCCTTGCCTTTGTTTCCCCTCCTCCTTCTCACTTGGTATGGTCATGGAAGACAATTGAGTGCCAAGATCTGCCAGAATTTTCTTGGCATCACTAGTTAAGTTCTTATTTGACCCCAATGCCTTCACAATATGCCTTGCAGCAGCAATTAAGCTCTCCTCCCTTTCTAACTCCGGAATCACAGGCTCAGACTCCTCTACAGCCATTCAGAGCACTCAACAAAACCACTTCAAAATCAAACCTTTTCAACTTCAAAATCAAGATTAACACTTCCTTCTCCACAATCCTCCAACACAAGCTCCTCAATAAATTCACACACCAACCAAGAACATCAGGACTCACCAATCAAATTCAAAACCAAAAGGGCATATGGGTAAGAAGAGAAACCTTCTGATTATGTCAAGCTGCAAAAACCCAAAAAACTCATTTTTATTTACAACAAAGACCAAAATACACATATTGCAGCCCTCAGATGAACCATGAACCATAAAAAAAGTATAATCATAATAAAAAGAAAAAGGGAACACACAAAAACTTACCTTTACTTCCTGTTTAACAGGAACAACCCAGAAAACAGTGAGTGAAGAAGAGTTGAATTTAATCTTGTGCAAGATCTGGAAGGACAGCAAAAGCACCAAAAGCACTGTACGGTGAATTTTGACTTTTTTGAACGCAGGCACAATTGTTGTGTTGTGATGAAAATGGAGAAAGAAAGTGAAGGGTAAAAGGGCCAGCCTTTTGGAACTTTTCAAACAGACAAATTTAAACAAAGTATATATATCTGTGAAAAAAGAAAAATATAAGAAAATAACGCTATGGCTGCGAATTTCTATGACCAATCTCACCCTCGTTCTCTGGCTGCAACTTGTTTCAAACTATCCTTAAAATATAGAAAATTTTCCGTACTGAACCTTGTTTTGTTTTATTTTTACACCTCTATTTTTTACATTTTTTCGGTTACATTATTGCAGTCTCTTCATCTTATTTATAAATTATATAGGATATATAGTATTTAGTACTTTGAAAAGCATGTTTGATTTGGATATGCCGTTTTCTAATGTACAATTACCCGACAATTAGAGATTAAAAATTAATTCTTTAAAGGGGATTATTTGTAAAATAAGCCATAAAACTGTATTTATCTTTAAATATTAGCATATTAAAATTAATATATATTTTAAATTAAATCAATGATCAGTGTATCATTACATATTTTAAGAATGAACACGGTTTTAAGAAAATTATTTATGAAAATTTATGTAAATCTGACGTATCTAATTTGAATGCACTAAATTAATAAAATACTAACATAATATTGAGTTTCTTGTGTCACTGTTTTTGCCTTTGACTTCTCCGAACCTTATCTTTTCCTTGGCCTGCCACGAGTGAGTTTTTCCCTCCTTCATTGCTGGCAAACTTTGGTTAGGTTAGGGCGCAATAATTTTTTACCAGATTTGGATAACTTTCTTAATAATAAGTAAAAGCGATATGGATTTTTTTATTTTTTATTTTACATGGATTCATTAAAATTAGCATTAGATTACTGTTTCTTATTTTTAAAATGAGAAATTATAAATCTAATTTTCTTCACTCCTGAGCATATGTTTAGTTAAAGTGAGAAGGAAAATAAATATAAGAAAAAATATGAAAATAGAAATTATGTTTTTTTTTTAAAAATTAAATACTTTACATTCGTTGGAGCATCTAACAATTAGGGGAGATAAAAAGGGTTGGGACCGCCTGTAAAAACCCCTTCCTGATTTGAGATGAAAAAGTGAAAGAGAAGAGACTCCTTTGGTTAGTATAAAGATAAAAACTTGTGTCTAATTCTTTTTTTATTATATTATAAAGGTTTAAGTATCATTTAATATATATCTATTATTATTTTCTTTTCAAGCAAATAAATAAAGGGAAAATGGACATTTTTATTTCTTTAATTTTTAAAATCTTAACAACTTCGAAATTTATTTACTTTTTATTCATTTGTTATTATTTTATTTAATTCACAGGTATTCTTCAATAAACCTACTTGAGCTGAGATTAAGTTATTGAGAAAGATAAATTTTTCTTACATGTTTAAAATTTAAAATTTAAATAACTAGTTAAACTAAAATAATTCAATACTTATTAATCCATGTATTCAACAATCTTTTCTTCAATTTATTTATATTTTTTATTTCTTTTCAGATACAAACAAGGCATAGAGGGAATTTGGTGGTATTGTAGCAGTGCAAGTATCAAAAGTGTAATAGATGTGACAGTGAATCAATTTGGACGGCACAAATTTAATAATAATGAATAGACAATAAAGAAGGTAGCATAATTTATTTTAAGTAACATAAACAGTGACTCACAAAATTATGTGACACTGGGCTCCATTGCTGCTTTATCTCTTTCTTCAAAAAAATTTCTTCTACTTTTCTTTTGAATCGACACTCTCTTTCCACTGTTTCCCAATTCACTGTCACATAAAATAAACACAGAAGGACCCTTTGATTCACTCCAAAGTAAAAAAGAAAGAGCTTTGGACAAATTGTGGTTTGAAGTTTTACAATTACAAAATGGGCATTAATTGTGATGTTGGTTAAAATTTATCCGTTAGTTAAAATTTATTAAAATTTATAAAAAAAATGGATTTCATTCATTTTTTTTATATTTTTTAATTTTTAATAAATTTTAATTAATAATAAAGAATGTATTAAAGAATATATTGCTATCATTTTGCTCAAACGAAATGAAACATCAAAATATGTATATTTAATGGGTTGGTTTAACCTATAGAATTGAAATATGCATGCTTATAGTTTAGTTGGAGTAAGGAACTTGACTCCAATGATCCCACTTAACTACATAAAGTATGAACAATTATTCGAATTTGAAAATGTTAAAATGGTAATTTTTTTCTACATTTTTTGGTCAGAATGAATATGTTTGTTGACTTTGGATGGAAGTTAATAGTGCCTGATCTCATTGACTCATCATCAATTTTTGTCCAATTTTTAGACTTTTTTTTTTCCCGTCATTCTATGGTATTGCTTCAAATTTTGACAATTTATTAAAGCTCTAAATTGCTAATTAAGGAGGGAGTTTCTTTGCTTTTTTTTTTTTTTCTAAAAAATCAATACACATGAGGACTTGTTTTAATTTTTGTTTATCACGTTAACATTGTAAATATTTGGATAAGTAATTTAATTAAATATTTATTTTATAAGCTTTCATTACATGAGACATTATATGATATAATTTTGACCATAACTTTTATTGAAAATAAGTTTAAAAATGTAATGTCATATTTTTTTCGTCACGTCTGACATTTGAGACTTTTCTCAAAGAACGTTAGTGTATCTTTTAATATATTTTTTATTAATTTTCTTGTTATTTTATAAATTAAATATAATGTATTTTTATTTTTAAATATAAAAAAACAATAATTTAAAATAATTGTAAAGATAAAATAAAAATATATATATTCTTTCTTGAAGGAAGCTGTTAAAAGCCAAGACACAGATTATGGTTGGCGTGACTATGATAAGATAAATGTTAACAAAGCTCTTAGAAAATTAAAAGTGAAAAAAACTGTAAGAAAATATTATCAATGTATTTTTTTGTATAATTTTTAATAAATTACTTACTTTTTATTTTTTAATTAGTATTTTTAGGACATTGTTAATTTTCTCAAATCTATTTTGTAGATTAACATTAATTAGCTATTTGTATATTGCATAATCGTGAATGACAATGATAAGATGTTATCATGATCATTAGATATTATTTATTGAGCTTTAGATTAAGATAAATCATGAAGAATTAGACTATTTACTTTGTATTTTATAAGAAATTTTTACTCTCATTTGACGTAACTATATAAAATGTTTTCTATCAAACAATTTAAGATGTGTATTATGAAAAAGTCCTAGCCGTTAGACAGAAAAAAGTTCTGTCTCACTCATTTGTGTTCATGTATCAAAATTAAAAAAATATATTCAAACTTATCTTTAAATGCATATAAATTTTATAAGAACATGCTATAATGTTGCAAAATTATATGAATAGATTAATTTTCTCTCTTGTTTATATTTATCAATAACAAGCCATTTGTGAAAAATAAAACTTGAACAAGAGCTTTAGAAGAAACACCACAAAATGCCGCCCTTCTAGATCTGTGTAACATTTTCTATACAATGCATTGGAACATTAGAATTCGAAACTTGACCCGATTGTTTGGGCTATACATTTTATTTCACATTATTATCCATAGTCAAAGGAGTACTATTGGAAAAGAAATATAAAATGAACTAGCTGCCAAAGGTTGAAACTTCATTAGTGGCGTACTTAATAATGTTTCATAAACAGAACCATACTTAATAATGTTTTTTACATTGAGTATATTGTCAACTTACAACTTTTGGTTTTTTAAAATACATTAAAAGTGTAATTTACTAACATATTTAACAAATGATAATAAGTAAATGTATATAAACACCCATGGTTGCTAACTTAAATCCACTTATTTTTTAAAATGTGTATTAGCAAGTTTAGTTTTCTTATAACACACCAAAAAGTATAACATGCTAAAATATTATTTCTAAAAATAAGCAAGTGCATAATAACAAACCAATGCATGATCAATTATAAAAACTTGCGTGATTTTCTAAAATTATGATATAACTTTTATATTTTAATTTTATCATAAAGGACCTTAGTTAAAAACAGATAAGATAAAATAATAAATATATTTAATTTATTATTTTAATATACATCAAATATAAAATAATAATCAATTATAACCCTTGTTCTTATAAAATCTTATTTTCTAGCCTTCCGTGTTTTATCATATCCACCGAACGAATCTTTAATTTTCTAATCTTTATTTAATCGTATTTATTAGCATTCTGCTTTATAAATTTATACATACAGAGGAAATGTACACTTGTTTTCCCTGTTTGTTTTAGCTCATGTTAACTATAGTTTAACAAGTTACCAACGTTTATAAGATAAGATTTCCCTTTTTGTGCACAATTTATATTCTAGAATCGACAGTGGCTCTTTCCACCAACCTCTCTTGCTTTGTTGACAAAGGAAAATGGGATAAACTTTGTTCGGAACAAAAGAAATGCAATAGAAATTAGCACTCCTATGGGCTTTTACACTTGTTTTCCTCTTTCTTTCCTTTTTTTTTTTTTTGGGTTTTTTGGTTCCTTCGTTTTCCTTTTTCTTAACACCATCTTGTTTTTCAATCTTTAGGACTTTGGTAGAGGCTTTCCTGCAAGGAATGATTTGAATAACTGAAGGGCTGCTCTGGGCTTGAATAGTGGAACTTCATGCCCTGCTCCTCTCACTGTGGCAAATGTTACCCCTTCATACACCTCTGTCCACCCTCCAACCTTCAACCAAACCACAATTCATGAAACCCAAAATTTAATTAATTAATTTAAATAATTTTAGGTGTGAATTTAGTTTTCCATTTTTATACAAATGCCTTATGTGTATATATATGGCCATGAAGTGGCATTGTCTACTAAAGCCACTGACTGAATAGATTCAAATTACTATTTCATGTCTGTATTACTATATATTGCAATTGCCCCATCATAATTGTAGCCTATTTTGGGCCAAAATGCAGGTCCATTTTACAAGGGTGAATGGGATTAAGTAGGGGTAACTGTATGATAATTTTTAAGAAATATTTTAAAACAATTATTGAGGGCAGGACTTTTAACACTACTTTAAGCAATTAAGTTAAGCATAAGATTGATTTTGAATCAATATAGACCAGAAATGTTTAACTACTCTAGGATTCAAGAACATTGACTAAATAGCTTAAGGAGTCCAATAGGTTTCAAACACTATATTTCAAATTCTCTAATTTTAGCAAGAGGCTTATCCTATCCAAGGTTAGGGACCAACCAGCAACCGCTAAGATATTGGAATCTTCCTATTTCATAAATTAAGCTCCATTATTCATTCTAATGAAATTTCTTAATTATGTGCCAAAATGTCCCATTGGAGACTCAAGTAGCTCTATTGTCAAGTGTCAACCCTAGATAGCTAATAGCAATAAAACTACATAAGACCACGAGTATGTGGCAAAAACTACTAAGTAATTAACTAATAAATACATGGGGCAGAGGAAGAACGATTTTCAATTGCACTCACCTGATTTTTGACATACCAAGGATACCATGGTGTCTTAGTAGACAACTTAAGCTGTGCAAGGGCATATCTTGTTGCTGTGACTGGCACAACCGAGTCCACGTCCCCACTGTATTAGCACATGTGTCAAACATAATTATCAGGCATTAACCATAATCATAATCTTAACTTTTTTATTCTAATTCCATTTATTCACTTGAGCACGTGAATTAAAAAATTAACATTCTAACTTATATTAAATATTTTTTTTAATATATATCTAAAGATATATAATAAACAGTAATCATAAATCATAAAATTTAACTATTTATAATATTGAATATTATGATCTTTAATAAAAAATAATTAAAATAATTTTTTTTATTGTATACTCTTACCACATATTAAAAAAATTAATATTAAAATTCTCATTAACTTCTTAGCATCCTTATTTATATGCGCGCACATAGGAGATGGATCGTGGAACTATAGCATTTAAAAAACAACCTGAACACCCAAAGTCTCACTCCGTGAGCTATCAACTCTCTATAAATTGGAAGAACAGATACATCTGTATCGTTCCAGTTTCGGTTCAAAACCTCACTGCATCAAATGAAAAGCAAAGTAATCATCAATTAACCCTTTGTACACATGACCACTCTCACAACTTGTTTAACAATTTAAACTAGGCATTCAACCCTTCGAATAGTTAATATAAGAGCACAAACTCACTTGCATGCAGTCCATTTATAAGAAATCCCGGTTGTGTTAGCATGAAGTGCTTTCTGAACATCTGGCCTGTTGTAGTAAATCTCTGCATACTTTTCCGTACATGGATCATAACCAGACAATTTCCTAACAGCCTGAGAATAAATAAATTTCCACGTGACATACTAACAACATTATTTATCATATACATAAAGTGTATCAGGTGAGTAGAGTTAATCTTATGAATTATTTTTTTATATAAATTATCATAATTACTAGTGTATCCTTTCACCTGTCTTTTAAAGGAAGTATATTAACAAATTACAAAATTTAATTTTTTCAACATTTAAATGTGTAACTTGATAGTATATTTTTATTTATATATCATTTTAAATCACATGACAAATCCATATAAGAATGTGACAATGCATAATTACATAGAAGAAATTTACCATATAATAATAGTGGGTGAAAATTAAATACCAGATGGGGAAGGTGAGGTAACCGAATGGTGTGGTGGGTGGAGAAGCTACCATCAGAGTTGTTGCATGGAGGAGCATAGATATTGTACTGATCAATGTTTCCGAATTCTTGATCCATGGCATAGCTATATAGAGATTCACACTCATCAGATTCCTTCTGCCGGTGAAAGTCACACGTACTAATGAGTTGCCGGTAAGTCTGGTCGGAGATCATAGCATGGCTCCACCAGTACGTAACTGTGCCCAAGTTATCATAGTAGTTGTCTGTCACTGCATTTCCAACCTGCCATTTATTATTAACAAAACTTCACCATCAATAGATTAATTGTTTCAATAATTTTGACAGTTTTTGTGACGTGTATCCAAGAGGAAGTAGTAAAAATTTATATAATATGTTCTTCTTAAAATTTATAGTATTTAATATATGAATAAAGGTGAGTGTATAATTTGTAATAAAAGTTATTATTTTATATTGTGTGTCCTTAAATATATATTAAAAAATTATATATTTTAAGTTCTCATATATATATTTATTTAGAAAATAATAAAAAGATGATGGAAAAGATATGTGCGAGGATATAATAAAGTTATCTTTTACATTTTATCTTTTTATAATGATGAGAAAAAAAGAGTTGAGTATTTACCATTATTCCTTTGAGGTTGATGGGGTGCTTGGTTTTTGTGTTATATGTCATGATTTCCTTAGCTAATTGAGGGACATAGTGGCCTGCATAGCTCTCTCCAGTGATATAAAGTTCCCTATTCTTATAACGCGGGAATCGTTCTAACCATTGAACAACGAATTCCAGAGAATCTTGGGCTGAAAATGAAACATAAGCATAAAAATATTGGATTCGTTAGTCGTAAAGAAAATTATTACACATGTATTAATGCAAAAAAAACGAAGAAAGGGTTCCAACTATGTTGTAATCAAATATATGAAGAGAGTTGAATAAAAGAATAGAGAATGACTTGGTAAATATATCACTGGCCCAACAAAAGGAAAAGTTTATATGATTTATCTTAGACAACATCTTGTTGCTGATCTAGCCAAATGGATAAAACTTAAAAGTAAAACTGAACTCTTGGCGTTATTTTCAGCTGAATCACGTTTTGGAAGTTTCAATTATGATAATGAGAAGTTTGTGTACTGAAGGGCGTGCTACAAGTACAATGTGGCTAGTTTAAGCAGGTACGTGGTTGGTCAATACACAAATTATTATGTGATGAACGTGGACCACCAAAAATGAACCATCTTTATCAATTGGCAATTATGTTAGGGACACACATATCAACTAATCATAATAATAATGTTAGAAGTAGTAATTAATTTGGTGAACCTAGCCCATTCAGCTCCTCATTTTATCCCCAATTATAACAAGCTCATCTTATCATTTTCTATGGCCTACCAATAAAATATCATCGTTTCCTACTTTGAAATTATGTGAACCGTGAATGATGGTGGCATTAATGTAGACAAGAGGGTGGTGGGCCCTACCGGTGCGGCGGTCGCCGGTGTTGAATAGGTCGGAGGAGCGGTTGGTGTAGGAGAAGCCAACGCCGGCCGGAGTTTCCAAGAATAAGAGGTTGGCCACAGTGTTCCATGCGAATTTGTTAATGTATAGCCCAGAAGCTGTTTTATTTATTCTAAATGGCCCAATCTCTTCGGATGCTCCATATGCCACTGATGAACAACCTGGACCTATAATTTACCACAAAATTTCACATTCATAAACTGAATATAAGAAAATGTAGGCAACTAAATGATAAACAATGGGTTAGCCGATAACTTTTAATTAGTTTTGTTAACCATTATCCTTAATACAACAATTAATAAAATAAAAAATAAAATAAAAAGTTAAAAAGTATAACTTTTAGTATTATTAATATATGTATAGCATGATTTTCAATATTTTTTTTACAAATGCTTAAAAAATAACAAATATTAAAAAGTGTTATCAGCGCACTTTGACTATAATTTTCAATACGCCCTAAATGTGATTTTTAGTAAATATTTTTCATTTATCTAATCCTTAACTAATACCCTCACCATGACTCATTTGAACAAACAGTTTAATTTTTTTCTAACTATGCCTATTGACTATGTTAAAGAATTAAAATATAATAATATTTTACTAAAAACGCAATATTCAATGTTATGAATGTATGAATTCTGCGTTATTTGATTATTTTCAACAAAGGCTTATGATATATAAATTCTTGTGGTGTGCTGTTAGATACACTTTTGAAAAAATTAATATTTTAATAAAATACTTATTTAATAAGCATTTATATAAATATTTTTGACATAAATTCATTATAAATTTTTTTATTTTTATCAGTCTTGTTAGCCAATGTTCTAAGTGTACTAATTAAGAAATCAGGAAAAAAATATTTATATTAAAATTACATTGATATTGCATTAGAAATCATAATAAATATGCATTTAATACCATTTTTTTTAATAAAATCTTTCATTATTTGATTTTTAAGCTAATTACAAGCTCTTCTAAATTATCTCTTAATCGTTGTCCTTAACAAAATCATTTTTTAATTATTATATTTTTATTACTCCTAAATTTTCCTAACTTTTTGAGGGGGTACGTACCAAGTTTTTCAAATAACTGTTTTTGAGGTGTTTCGAAAAAGATTTTAAAGAAATTTAACTAAAGTTCAAAAAAGTGATTAAATATAAAGGATAAAATTTAGGCATGGCATTTTTTAATTAAAATCTAAAAAATTGTTCTACATGACTACAAATTTAATTTGTATTAAGATAAAATATTAGGAATTAAAAACAAAAAAAGAACTTAAGAAACTAAAATTCAAAATTTATCAGACATAAATAATGCATTTTAACAAGGACAGGGCTATAGTGCTAAATATAGGGTTGCATTGATGGTGCACCAATGCAAGCTGACAAGTTGCCTAACAGAACCTTAAATAATGGCTCTGAGGCTATTTAATCATAAATGAGGCTGGTTTTTAGTTGCTTTCAAGCATTAAGTGCCATGCGTGTGTATGCGTGCGTGTATGTGCAATGTAGAAGAAGAAAGAGAGAGGAATAGACCACAGCGTTTACTATGGCCTTGTGCGTGTATGTTGCTTTGTGGAGTAGTACCATTCATCGTTAGTTAGGTCATCATTCCAAGCTGAAGCTATCCATTGCCAACCCACTCATGTGGGCTCTACGTACACTTTCTTTTGTTTTTTGCACGGTACAAAAATTCAATGCATTTCTACACCCGTTCTTTTTCATTTTATTTCCCCAATTATATGTAATGCACAATATAACCCCACCCACACACACAAAATAAATCACATTTGTAATGACACATCAGGTTTAATTAAAGAAGCCAAATGGGAAACATTTAAAAGGTAAGTAACACGTAAAAGAAAAAATGTTCTCATTCATGTTACAAGTCAAAATAAGCCTTACCTAAGATAATGAAATTGAAAACTTCTCATTAAGGAAGCACAGAACAATATTCAAAAGGGTCAACATGGATATGTGTACATTTTATTGACCAGTATGTCGGCAACAAAGTAGTATTATTAGTTGTATATTTTGCATCGTTTGTTAGAGATACTAAGAAAGAACCAAAGGCTTAAAATACCAAATGAGGAAAAAATCATACCATTAATTAATAGGCGATATAACAGTGACTTTAGGATATGTATATATGACTAAGAAAAAAATATTGAATTTGCATGCCAACTACTCTCACTTAACACAATCAAAATGCTAAAGTAACTTTTGTGTGTGTGTGTGTGTGTGTGAGAGAGAGAGAGAGAGAGTGAAAAAAGTTGTGGGGTGGAGGAGTTACAACTTCTAACCTCCATTAAGCCAAATGACAAGGGGTTTGGTGAGAGGATTTTGGGGTGCTTCAGTGAGCCAGTAAAAGAGTGCTCTACCAGCAACCTTGTTGACAGTAACATAGCCAGAAAATTGCTGAAACGACACCTTGGGTTGCCCTGGTAGTTCCAAAATCCTATCAGTTGATTCGGATCCTTCTACTTCTGCTTTAACAGTGACATAACTTGCTATAACATTGACCGTAAACAACAAAAGCACCATATGAACAAAGATCTGTCTTTGCTCCATGACTTTGTGGGCTTAGTGAAAATGAAGAAGGGAATATGATCAAAGAAGTGTTAAAGTCTTACAGAAAAGAAAGCATGTCTCACTTGTTAGTTGTGTGTGAGAGTGAAAGGATGGATGTTAGGCGTGTGTGCCCTCTCAGAAGGATTAAATAGGAGAGAGAGAGAGGAAGAGGGATAGGGAGTTATGAGTGTCATAAACTACCGAGTTATGAGTGTCATAAACATTTGACTTTGCTTTTTTATTATTATTTTTATTAACATTAGTGGCTTCAAGCATTTAAAATTTATTATTTTATTAAAAATAATCATTTATATGATAAATATTTTCAATAAAAATATTATTTGCTTTTGTTTAAAACTAATTTTAAGGACAAATGATATTAACTTCACCTCTTAGAAATAATTTTAAATGAGTAAAAATAATATTTTTATATTAAAATATAGAATATAATAAAAAAATATATGCTTAAAAATATTAATTAACAAAACCGTTCTTGATGTAACTCTATTTTATACTTTTATGAAGTTATCGTTATTATTTTAGAATGTGAGCAATATATTTTTTTTTTTACAAAATTATTACATTTTTATACATACTTTTTTCTTTTTCTTGTTATTTTTACATATTTTTCTGGTATATCATTTATTACATTTTATATTTTTTTCTCTCTTAATTTTCTTCTTTCTTCTTATTTTTCTCATCCCTTGACCCATTAAATGATATTATAGAAATATTTTCTATTTTTAAATATATTCTTCACCATATTTTTCTATTGATTTATTTTTCAAAAATTTAATATAATTATTTGCAATAAATTAAACTTTTTAAAAACAATATTCTCTCCTGTCTTATTTGCAAAATAAATATCTAATTTATTAATATTATTAAAAATAGTTATATATTATAAATTATTATTATTATATTTAAAAATATTATAATATTAAATAATTAAATTAGTAACTTATACACTAAATAAATGAATACATCGTAATGAAGCTAAAACAAATCTCATACAAGCAAATGTTTTTTTTTTTTCAATTAATTTAACAGAATGTTAATAGTTACTTTTTACAATTAAAATTGAATAAACTAACATAAAATGTGTTTGAAATATAGTTAAAAATATGTGTATTTGACTTTTTACCTCTCTTTGTCATTTTCATTGTTTTATTACGTTTTTCTCACATTTTTTAGTGTACAAAAAATTTATAATTTTGTTGACGAAATTAAACTTATCCAGACAATTTGGGCACTCTAGCTAGAAATGTCATTCAAAATACTTTTGACCTTACTTGTATAGGTACTAATTTTGGTCTGCCTAATATCGAAAGAATGTTGGAACGCTTGTGTTTAAACATATGTTTTAAATAGTATAAATGTGAATCTAATTTAAAATTTAAAGTAATTATAAATTTATATATTATTTAACGTCAATTTATGTAGGTTAATAAAATCGATAAAATTTAGATAGATATAATATCATAGTTATTGTTGATATTGTTTTCTAATAAACGATAAAATTTTATTTTAATAATGTGTATTGATCTTTAATATTGATTTAGTGGTTTTTATTACAAAAATTATTAAAATAAAATTCTAACTCTAATCTAAAAACAATAACAAAGAGCGTATTGATAATTAATAATTTTAAGATGCGGACTAGGAAATTAATAAATACTACAATTTGATTAAAATATATTAACAAATTTATATTTTTTAAAATACTTTATTTATTTTTTATCTCTTAATTGGTGAAATAAGGTTGTATTTTGCGCAATTGAACTGGCTCATAGGGTGGTGGCAGGACAACGAAAGTGTGGCTTTGATCCTCCATTAATTAAGCACAAGAACTTTGACCATCTCTTTATTGGCTTTATCTATTCCTATTAATTGTTAGAAAATATCTAATTTGTCTTGTACAATACATATAATTGAACAAATTATTATATTTTTTTGTCATATTGTGTTGTAGTACATACTTAATAATTAGAGATTTTTGGGCTCATGATTTTGAAGCCCTTCAATTATTGTAGACGTAGACGAAGGATTGCTAGCCCAAACACAAAGCACATGCAACATTATAAAAAAATTGATGAAAGGCTCAGAGTATGAGTTTTAAATGCTCTTCCACTATTCTGCATATGACCTGTATGCTCAGAATGCAGAGCTGATGTAAAACAACGTCATGTCATTTACATTTTCTGAACCCAAAAGTTACTTCTCATTTTACCAATTTCGTCAAACAGCCCACTTCAATAGAACCATACAAGTTAATTGTGAAAATAATCACAATTGAAAAGAAATAAAATTTCACCAATACCCATCACCGTGTGAAATTTATCAAAAATTATCATTTTTAATGTATTTTAATATATTGATATTATTGGATATTATTTTTTTATTTTTTAATAAAAATATATTATAAATTTTTAGTAGGTGTAATTTTATATAAATTATAGTTTTTTAAAAGTATAAATTTGTTTTAAAATTGATTTTAAATATTTAAAATAATAATTTTAAAATTAAAATGTAAATTTATTAACAAAATTAACAAGAAGTGATGGTTAATTTTCTTTGAAAATAGTTGTATTAATGATTATTTAAAATTATCAGAAATTATACTGAAAAAATGTTAGAAATGATGATCGATGAAAATATATTGATGATTCTTTTTAATAATTTTAAAAAATTCTTACCTCTTTAATTAATGTTTTAAAATACTGATTAATATTTGTCAAAAAATATATAAAATGAATGTAAAATGCGATAAACTAGTATTAATTAATAGCACAATCAAAGCACATATGTGCAAACCAATACTCTCACTATTGGAATTTTAAGAAGAATTGCACTTATAGAATTATAGTATGTCAGTTTTTTTGGATTGGATCAATCTTCTTAAAATTTTAATTAACGTTCATTGTTAATGTTAAAGTTTCTATTTAAAATGATTGATGAAGCAAATATCCATCTCATCCTTCTAATCCCCTGTCCCATATGAAGATTTAATCTTATATGTTTTGGTTGCCCCACAATTTTTAAATCACTTATATTAATTAAAAAACCCATTTCACAAGTAGCATCACATATATCAACATTCATCCTGCATAATAACTCTTATTGCATTTTAAGATCACATAATATAATCTCATAATTACCGTTGAAAGTTTAGGGTAACAAGTGAATAATATATTATCTCTATAAATCCATTTCTTGTTTGAAGTTACTCAAATGATAGATTCTTTGTTACAGAGAAGAAGATAGAGCTTTTACCATTTTCTTCCATAATCTAACATTTCATTGTCATTCATTATCCTATGCAGAAGCAAGCTTGCACTATCTAAGTACGTTCTGCGCAAGTGAGTAATCGTTACTCACTCTAAATGACGATAGTCTTTTGCTCTTCATCTACTTCTAACCTTCAAAACTATACATTCAAATCTGAGGAATGGAGAAAGGCCATGCATACTTCAGCACTCCACAGATTCCTTAAATATATTTACATAATAGTCTCTTAATTAATTAAACAGGCAGTAAGATTAGAAGTGTTGAATTTTAATCATTATAAATGAAAAAAAGAAGTCATAAAAATATATGCATGACAGCAGTCACATGTTTTTTTTTTTTCTATTTCTCTTCCACACATCCATCGTGAAAGGATCATTATTCGTTTCCATTTTGGTGAAATTGAAGAATTATGGCTAACAAACAGAAATTGTCCCTTTTCCAAATAGAGGTATGAAGATAGAAAAGAAAGAGAACTTGATAGTGCAGGTTCTCTTTTCGTGCACGCGAGGAGTAGGAATGAGAGGTGCCATTGAATTCTGAAAATAGAATGGTGTGAGTGTTGTGGCCGCTAACATGATGACTCTTTAGGACCTGTGTTGCCAAGCTGCCCTACATGCAGGTAGCAATTGTTATTACAACTTAGCTTCTTATCAATCTAATGGTGGAAACAGTTCAATTATATTAGCCTTTATAAGGATTCTGTCGGATTTCTTTCTTAAATTTCAGATTTTGTGTGATTTATTTACTTTCTTAATTTTAAGCGTTTTTTGTTATTGTTTATTCTTTTCATCTAATATAAGTGTCTATAATATTAATGAATTAAATAAAATAAAGGTATAATAAAAAATAATTTTCAAAATATGATAAATAATATTCTTTTCTAAAAATCAGACAAATAAAACAAGAAAAAATTATGTAGAATAATACTCCTTCCTTTTAAATTGAGTTTTATCTTAGTAAAAACTACAGTTCAAACATTAAGTGGCATTTTAAGATTTTATTAAATATTGTTTTTATTCTCTCCCAAATAAATAATTAATCTAATAACTTTTGAGTGTTTTGTGAATCAAATTTTTTTATTAAATAAGTAGAATAAATAATAAAGATAATTTAGTAAATCCATTTTACTAACTGTTGTATTTATTATTTTCTTAATTATTGTAAAAAATTTCTTAAACATTAATAATTTCAAAATAGAGGGAGTAGTACATATTGTTTAAAACACATTTGTTGGTGTAGTTAGCTCTTTGAACTCTGCCAAATTAAGTAAAAAAAAGTCGATTTCTATTGGAGTCATAAAATAAAAATTTTAATTTAATTTAAAATGTATTTTATATTTAAATAAATTAAAATTATTTAAATTTAATAAAAAAGTTTCAAGTAATGAAGAATAAAAAGTATTTTTTATATTTTAATGAATATAACCGAACTCGTGAGGAGTTTATTTTATGTAGAATAGATTTTCTCCATTTTTTATAAAAATATTTAAAGTATTAATAATTTAAAAAAATGTATTATAATAAATTAATGAGAAGGAAAAAAGAAGAGGTTATTGAGTGAAAGAGAAAGAAGAGAAGGGAGAGAGTAATTGGAACTTGAGCTTTGCATAGGGACATAGTTAGGTTAGGGTCCATAATTAACCTCACTCCTAAATTCAAACCCATTCATTCAAGACTTGTCAGTGTCACAACTTTTATGGTCAATGCTCATCTTCTCCCTCAAGACCCGCACCACAAACCATGATTATCACCTTTCCCAATTCCAATTTTCCAAATCCAGTCAAATTTTATTTATGTTTACGCATTTTAA